CTATCTGTTCCAGTGTACATCCTCTGGTCTAGCCAGATTTGTAAGGTAGAATTGGAATCATGATAGGGGGGGGGGGGGAGGGAAGGATGCCTGGCTTACCTGGTGGACTTTTCCTCACATGGCAACTATCCCTATAGGTGAGAGTAAAGAGCAGGTGGCAAATTCTGCTTTTGTGGAGCGTGTGCGCAAGCGGGGCTTTGAGGTGGTCTACATGACGGAGCCGATCGACGAGTACTGCGTGCAACAGCTCAAGGAGTTTGATGGGAAGAGTTTGGTCTCTGTGACCAAAGAGGGGCTGGAGCTTCCAGAAGATGAAGAAGAGAAGAAGAAAATGGAGGAAAGCAAGGCCAAGTTTGAAAATCTGTGCAAGCTCATGAAAGAAATTTTGGATAAGAAGGTTGAGAAGGTAAGTTAATTACTCTTGTGGAGACGCTTACCTTAGAATCTTCTGAATTAGGGGAGAATCTCTTTTGTTTTAAAACACTGATTCAAAAGCTCTTCTCCCTCCCACTCCCAATCGATCAGGTTGCTAAGTTTTTGTTGTGTGACCCATGTCCGCAGGTGACAATCTCCAATAGACTCGTGTCTTCGCCCTGCTGCATTGTGACTAGCACATACGGCTGGACGGCCAACATGGAGCGGATCATGAAAGCCCAGGCTCTTCGGGACAACTCCACAATGGGTTACATGATGGCCAAAAAGCACCTGGAGATCAACCCGGACCACCCCATTGTGGAGACGCTGCGGCAGAAGGCTGAGGCTGACAAGAATGACAAAGCCGTCAAGGACCTGGTGGTGCTGCTGTTTGAAACAGCACTGCTCTCCTCTGGCTTCTCCCTTGAGGACCCTCAGACCCACTCCAACCGCATCTACCGCATGATCAAGCTTGGCTTAGGTGAGTCGCTTGGTACCCTGGTGTGGCCAGTTTGGGGGACTAGGTAAGGTGTTATTTGTTCAGAGTTCACTCTGTGCACTGTCTTCACCTGTAGGCATTGATGAAGATGAGGTGACGGCCGAGGAGCCCAGCACTGCTGTTCCTGATGAGATTCCCCCCCTCGAGGGTGACGAAGACGTATCTCGCATGGAAGAAGTAGATTAGGCCATTCTGCTCTGAAACCTTGTGCCCTCTGTATAGTGTCCCCATGACATGAGTGACCCTAGCCCACCTGGGCTCTGCAACTGCTGTTAACTAGTGGTCCCTCCCCCCTCCTGTTCTTGTGTGTAAAGCAGGATCTAAGGCCCTCACGCCCTGTTGTCCCCTCCTTTATTTGGGAATGGGGTTAATGTTGTGTATCCGTGAGGTTTTTTTGTTTATTTTGTTCTATTAAAGTGTGCAAAATAAAGAAGATGCCATTTTATACAGTTCTCCCTTGTGAGTGTGGTTGGTGCTGCATCTCACAGCCCGACTTTCCTGTTGCATCTGAGCCCTCTTGTAGCACAAGGTGAATTAAGTGGGGCTAATAAAAGTAGGGGGTGGGGGGCAAAAGTACCCAGCATAACATTTATGAAGGAGTTCCTAGAACACAATACATACAAGGGGCAAGTATCTCAGAAGCCCTGTAGGGCAATTGCTCTAGAGTTCCTCTGAACCAGAAGTTAATGGGAAGAGAGCTTGGGGGAACTTCGCCCTGTTTATGTAGTGCAGAAATTTCCAGTAACCGCTTCTTCAGCCCTGTGGAATATAATGAAGCAGGACTATGTGCTGCCTCTTTTTAGCCTCTGACCTTGTGACAACACCAGGGTTCCTTTGACCCCAAACACACTTGATCCAGAACACAGGACCAACCCCCTTGCAGTAATTTAATAAAATAAAATTATAAGCAAAAACATTTTACAAAGTACCAAAAATCTGCGATTGGCTCCTGGGAGGACCTGGTGGTGCCAAGTGGGGCTTCCCACACACCCACTTAAGCAGTGCAGTCTTCCTCCTGGGGCAGCAGCATTGGCATCCACAACACTTGTGCTTCTCACCCAGGTAAATGCAGGTGGCTGGGAGCTTGAGCAGCCCAATGTTCCAAGGTAGGGGACAAGTACAGGTGGTGCCATGGCAGAGCCAAGTAAGGTGAGGGATGAGTGAGCCTCTGGTTTCCTCACCTGCAGGTAGGTCATTTCTCCTGGGGGTCTATGGAGTCCCTGCCTACCACAGGATGGGTGACTTAAGGCAAAGGGAGGGCTGCCTCCTGAGCACTCCATCCCCAGTTGCACCAGGCTGGTTTGTGATACTGAGAAACCTGCATTCTAGCCCCAGAGCCAGCTGCCACTGAAGTGACAAGATGGGTGAGGGTCCTGTATCCCTGGACCCACTCTGGTCCCTCCATCCCTCAAACCTTCTGCACAGTGGACTCCACTGGCACAGCCTTCTTGCCCCGCTGCTTTAGGCGGCCCCGGGCATAGACACGCAGAAGGAGGGCAGCGAAGACCACAGCTACCCCCAGCCCCCCCACCACAGTTACAGTGTGGCCGTACAGGAGGCAGGAGAGGAGGATGGCAAAGGCCTGGCGGAGGGTCATGATGATGGTGAAGACTGCGGCCCCGAACTGCCCAATGGTGTAGAAGATGAAGAGCTGGCCACACGCTGAGCAGACGGACAGCAGCAGGGCATGGGCTGCAAACTCACTGTGGCGCCCCATGAATCGGGTCCCCTCCAGCAAGGCCCCCTGCTCCAGCAGTGAGCCCACTGTGAAGAGGCAGGAGAAGAAGTTGACCCCAAACATCATCTGGACCGATGACATTTTGTAGGCAAACAAGGCATCTTGCCAGTTTGAGGTGAAGCTGTCAAAAGCAATGTAGCCTGTGAGCAGAATGAGGCCTGAGAGCGTAGTGGCTGGGGAGCTGCGGGGCTCCGGCCCACTGGACAGCAGGAACATGCTGACCCCGACGGAGATGAGGCCAGCTGTGAAGTATTCCCAGTGCTCATAGCTGCGCCGGGACACTAGCTTCCCCATCAGCATGACAGGGATCACCTTGGAGGCCTTAGCTAGCACCTGGGTGGGGAAGCTGACAAACTTGAGAGCTTCATACTGGCACCAGCTGCTAAGCACATTGGTCAAGCTGGCAAAGGAATACTGGTACATGGGCGCCCCGTGCCGGGGCTGCTTGCAAAGCGCACAGTAGAGGCCCGCCACCATCAGTGCCAGCACGCGGTTCATCAGCACCAGAAACTGCGAGTCTGTGAAGCGCTCCCCCGGTGTGGTGGCTGTGGCCCCGTAGCTGCGGGTCATCACTCTTTCCTGCAGCACACCCCAAGTCAGATAGGACACCTGCCGGGGACAGGGGAGAAACCAGCAGATCCAGTGAGCATGAAAAGAAAGAGGATCTCAACTTTTAGCATCTTCATAGGAGGCGAAGGAAAAGCACAGCACACAGTCATTCCTCTGTAGTAACGAGAAGGCCTGCAAGGCGGAGGCCAGCTGACCACGTTCTGTGTCCCCACAGTATGGGTCTGATGGAGCAGCCTCCATCCAAAGCATTTCCTTACTCTTCACCAGTTCCGGGAGGGCAGGCTTAGCTTGCCATGATACACAACAGAGGACTCTGTCCCAGAGTGTTTGCCATCAGCCTCTTAGCACCCCTCCGAAGAAGGGCTAAGTGGCCCCTTCCTACCCCACCAAAGTGCTTGTCATTAGGGCTACATGTATGACATGAGACACATCGGTGTGGGGGAAATGTAATAACGGAACAGTAGAAAGAAAAGAGAAGGCCCAGTCCCAGAGTTGGAGGGATGAGGAGCAGGGGAAAGTCAGGGTTTCTTCCAAGACGATGGTGGTGTGGGTGGTAGGGTGGGACCCCCCACCCCAACCAGCAAACCCAATATGGTAGGGCTGGTGTGGGGTTCCAGCCCAGGAGGAGATGCAGAGCCCACCTACCTGGAGACCCGCGGCACAGAAGAGCAACTTCAGGGCCTGCCAAGTGGGGGTGGTCTCTGCAGACTCTGTCCGGGGAGCCAGCCCGGGCTCGTCGGGGGCCTTGGGCTCATTGCCAAACACACAGGCTTTCACCAGGGGGAAGCAGAGGCCCCTACCTGGGGAAGGCAAACCAAGTCACGCCCCCAATCTTTCTCACCACAAGCATCCTCCCCAGAGCAACCACCCTGCCCCGCTGGCCTCCCCGACTGCCCAGCATTGAGCTGAGTCCGTTACCCGCCCTTTCCCCACACACCTGTCTCCAGGTAGTTCCTGCGTCTTAAGTACTGCACCAGGAGGTAGCCGGGGACCATGAAGCTGGCATAGCCAGCAGCATTCACCAAAAAGCGGAAGAACCAGAGCTGGGTCCATGGCTCGGGTGGAGCTTCAGGCGCCTCCCCGCCGGCCCCTCGGAAGGGGAGCGTGGCCAGCACCACCACTGCCCACCACCTGCAGGGGAGGCGGACACGAGGCTTATAATGTCGCTCCTCAAGGGGCCACACTGGAGGCGGGCCCGAGTCTCCTCCCCGCCGCCTTCCGCGGCAGCCCAGCCGGACAAAGAGCCTCTCTCTCCGGGGGCAGGGAGGGGGACCGCCGTGGGCCAAGCAGGGCCCCCTCCGCCCCAGGGGCGTGCCCGCCCCCGCCCCGCAGGCCAAACAGGTCCCCTCTGTTCCCTCCAGAGCCCGCCAGCTGTTCAGGCCGCTGATCAGGCTGGCAGCGGCGACCCCCGCGCCTCCCACGTCCCCGGAGTGCGAATGCTCCCCTGCCCCTGACACGACGTGCCCACCTCCCCCGCTCCCCGCAGACGGGGCGCGTGAAACCACCGGCTCCGGGAGGCGCTAAGTGGGCCCACCGCCCCGCAGCGCAGACCCCACCCGGCCCCTGAGCCCAGGGGTGACAGTCACGTGCCCCGGGGGGCCCGATCACGTGGGCGCCATCGCTCCCCTAGCCGCCCACCTGGTGTCCATGGTCCTGCCGCGTGGGGCGGAGGGGGACCGGGGAAGGCAGTCCCCGGGCCGCGCGCTCCCTCCGCCGCCTCCCGGAGCAGCCAGCGAGCGAGCGGCCAGCGGAAGTGGCGCGCTCTTCCCGCCTCCATTCCCGGGGCCGCCCCTCCGCCGCCCACAGCGCCCCCGCGCGGCCCGGAGGGAGACGCCGCCAGGTTCCGGGAGCGCGGGGAGGAGTCTCCCTACTCAGGATCGCCTTTAGGCTTAGTCATCCTGGTGGTCGCGATCACAGGCAGGGATTCTGCAGTTGCAAGAAGCCTTTCTTGTGTAGCCCACTTTCTCACACGATGGAGATGCCCTCTCCCCTTTTGTCTGGGTCAGCAACTTTGTCCCCGACTCCCCATGACCTTCAAGGTTCTACATGACTTGGCCCCTGGCCTCCTCACCCACTCACCTACCCTCTGCAGAGCCCACGGGCGGCTCTCAGTTCCCCTAAGTCACCAGAGCCTCACTGAACACTCTCCCCTCATCCCGTACTTAGGCTTCAATCAGAGTGGAAATGAGGAGTTTCCTGACCCTCAACATATGGCCTTTCTCAGCACTGACCACAACTTGAAATTACTTAAAAGACTTATGACTGGCTCACTCATCAGACTGGACGCTCTGAGTGACGGACACCTTGTTGAGCTCCCCGCCCCAGCACAGGGAGGCCTGACCAACTACAGTCTGGCACAGGGGTGGAAGGTGGGTAAAAATATCTTTTAAGATGCCACAGCCCTCTTGTTGCCCATCGTCCCTCGGCTGGCCTTCCTGTCCAGGTGCCTCCATGTTTTGTCAGCCTCCAGGGCGGTGGGAAGGCCAGGCCTTCAGAGCCTGTGTCTCCCCAGGTCCCGTGCATCCCCATAGAAAGGACAGGTGTCAGGGCTGGAGACAGAGGCCCTCAGCTGTTGCCAGCTCCCTCCCACCTCATCCACTGAGGCTCTTCCCTGCCCAGGGACCAGTCTCTCCTCTGCTTTTAAGACAAGGTCGTGAAAAAAAAGAAGAAGAAAAAAGACAAGGTCGTAGGGCAGGCCTGTCAAAAACTACACACACACACACACACACAATGAATGTGGGTAAAACAACTAAAAATTTCTGCCATTTTAGTGTCTTGTTACTGAAATGTTCCCTCCTCAAAGGCTCGTGTCAGGCAGAGCCTTTGGCATGAACTCCGTAACAGCAGTCTTTGAGAGCCCTCAACAGCAGGAAGATGGGGCCCCTGTTCACATTACAGCCTCTCCTTGAACTTGGGCGAGTCCACGTTTTCACACTTGTTGGTCAGTTCAAGCTCAACGAACATCAGTTGAAAAGGCCCCTCGGCCCCTTTCCCAGGGGACAAACAGGCTTCGCCCAGGAGCCCCCGGGGGCGGAGCGGCCTTCCAAGAATCTCCATCCATTGGGAAAGCTCTTCCTTCTAGACTGGTTCTTCTTACTTCTTGATCCCTCCGCTCAGCTCAGGGCTGTACTGGCCCCAGGCTGGGACCAGCAGTCCCCAGGGCCCCAGCATGGCACATGGTGCAGGCCCAAACTGCAGCAGCAGCAGCAGCTCCAGCTTCCAGGTGGGAACAGGAGGCGCCCTGGGCCCCAGACCCCGGCGGGGCTTCAGTCGCCACACAGCAGCGGCTTCCCCGAGATCTTCAGGTCATCAAAGGGCAGGAGAGCCAGGGGCTGAGAGAAAGAACAGGGAAAATAGTCAGGGCTCATCGGGGGAAACAACAACAAAGCAATGGACAGAATGGGGTGCTGGAGAAACTGTAACCAAAGGACACTTAAAGGATTTCAGGGACTAAGTCCTCCAATCTCCAGAAGGTTGTGGCCTGCCTGAGCTGGACACTGCCCTGAGACCTAAGGCAAGCCTTTCTTCTCTAGGATAACCCCAGACTATCAGAGCCAGGAGGGGCCTGAGACATAGCCCTGGCGGTGCTGTGGGGGTCAGCAATGGATGGCCCATCTCGAGGTCAGTGGTTCAAGCCTACCAGCTGCTCTGTGAGAGAAAGATGAGGCCGTCTGTCTCTGTAAAGATGTACAGTTGTGGAAACCCTTTCCAGGGTCCCTGGGAGTTGGACAGGAGGGACCAGAGAGGTAGTCCAGCCCAAATGTCTGGTATTTCGGGGGGACAAGGATGGGAGGGTGTTCACAAAACATTTCAACTTTTTTTTTTTTTTTAATGGGAAAGACTTTACAGAAAGCCTGGGGTTCACCCCTTTTCAAAAATTGTAAGACTGGTAACATGGGTGTGCTTCCACTCTGCAACCACCTGCTGAGCTGAGGCTGCCTGGCGGGGGCTCTCGGCGTTCCCACTTGTCTCTGATGTCTTAGGTTCTCTGGCTCCCTGGAGCTGCAGGGGCCCTGGTCCAGTTTACCCACGGTCCCAACAGTTGGGTAGTGGCAGAGTCCAAGATTAGACTCGGGAGACCCCAACTTCCAGTCTGGCCCTTCCGGTGGCCCCAGTGCAGCCCCCTGCTCTGTGTGCCTCTTACATCCTCAGCCAGGTCCTGAGGCGTCTCGTCCTCGACATTCCGCAGCAGGGAGTCGGCTCCTGCCTCACACAGCGTGGATGAGATGCTGCTGAGGCCCCGGCCTGCTGCGAGGTGCAGGGGGGTGCACCCATTGAGCATGCGGGCGTCCACTCGGGCCCCGGCCCGGAGCAGGAACTGCACCAGGCTCCGCTCCTGGGTTTCCACCGCCAGGTGCAGCGCCGTCTTCCCACTGGTGCCCTCCTGGAAGGGGACGCAGACATCAGCCAAAGTCCCCCAGAGGCCAGGTGCTCTGGGCCTGAGCCAGGGACGAGGAGGTGAGCACCACTATTTCTGACTGCTGAGGGGGGGCGGCGCCCTGGGGCTGGCCAAGGGGCAGGAGATGAGCCCCCTGGGGCAGGCAGCACCCTGACTAGCTGCCTCACCTGAGCATCAATGTCAGCTCCATTCCGAAGCAGCAGCTCCATCAGCGGCCGGCTCCTCTGTAGGGTGGCAATGTGAAGACAGGCCAGACCTGGAAGGCAGCCGGCCCAATGGTGAGGGTGCACGCAGGCGGTGGCTACCCTACTTACATCTGCCAACTCTCTCCCTCCCTCCCTTTTCTCCTGGGACCTCCTGTAGCCCCCAGGGACCCGCTGCCCACTCAATGCCTCTGATCACAGGGCTGGTAAAAGGCAAACCCAAAAACCCCCTCAAAAGTCTGAGGGGGAAGGAACTCAAAGTTTCCACCTTTTCAGAGTCATGTTATTGAAACTTTCACGGTTCAAGGGTCAGGTTGCTGAGACCCCTCCCCTTGCCCTCCCCCCACCCCCGCCTGCCCCCGCCACCAGACTCCTAGACACACAGAGTGCTCCGGCAGGGACCTCAAGTCCACCTCCCTCTGGGACCCCCACCACAACACACAGGTGCCCACCTCCGTGCCCGGCTGCACCTCCTCCTGTGCACTCCCTTGGCCCAGCCCCGACCCTGCTCAGCAGAGGATCACATGCACAGCTCCCGTCTCCCACGCCATCTGTGTTCAGTGGTCCCTGCTCCGTGGGGCCCTCCCTCCTATCTCCTGACTGTTCCTGTCAGGCCATAGAGCCCAGAACCCTTAGAGCCCAGTCTGACCCCGGCCCGAGCGGTTTCTGTGAGTCAGATGGGACCGACGGCGGTGCGTTCAGTGTGGGTCATCGGCTGCTGGCGCCCACAGAACTTACTCTCTCCTCGGTCTCGCTCTCACCATTTCCTTCACAGGTGTCAGTCCTGCCCCCTAGGTCATGTCTGGCACATAAAGAGGGGACCTCAAAAAGTTCGAGGGGGGAAAATGGACCGAAAAGATAACGGAACTCTTCAAGGAACTTGTTGAAGCCCCCTCGCAGAAAGCCCTCGGGACATCTCTGTTGACTGAATGCATGGACAGCTTCATCTAATCACTACTGTCCTGACTGTCCTGAGGGCAGAGTGCGCTCCCTGCTTTGCAGGTAGTTCCAAGCCTATTGCCATCCGGTCAGTTCTGATTCACAGGGCACAGGAGGGCTGCGACACAGACTTTCCAAGGCCGTGCATCTTTACGGAAGTAGCCAGCCTCATCTTCGTCCTAAGGAGTGGCTGGTGGGTCTGAACTAGCAACCTTGCAGTTACTAGCCTGCTGAGTAACTCGCTGCATCCCTGGAGCTCCTAGCATAGAGTAGGTGCTAGGCATATTCTAAATTAAACTCTTTCCTTTCTTCGTTCACTCACTCTTCATTCATTCGGTCGGAAGAGACACACCGAGAACTTATGTGCTTAGAATAGTCCTGTAGCACAGCAGGTTCAGTGTCAGGATGCTAACCAGGAGGTCAGCAGTTCAATCCCATTAGCTGCTCTGAGGGAGAACGAGAAGGCTGTGTGCAGAAATCTTACAGAGCCGTTCTACTCTGCTTTGTAGGGTCACTGGGTCCCTATGTGTCCATGCCAACTTGAGGGGCAACGGGTTTATGTGTAAACAGCTGGAGGCCTGTCAGTGAGCCAGTGGGGCCCCTCCCCTCCCTGTCTCCTGCCCCTCCCCAGCCCACAGGCTCCCTGGCTGCCCATACCTTGCCAGTTTTGCAGCTGGAGGTCCAGGGAGTGAGGCTGGGCTCGGCCTGGCTCCGGCCGCCCCTCTAGCAGGCATCGGGCGCAGGCCAGGTGCTGGCGCTGGCAGGCCATGTGCAGGGCTGTGTCTCCGTGCAGGTCCTGAAGCACCCGACTGGCCCCCTTCAGCACCAGAGCCTGGACTGCTCGGGGCTGATCCAGGTGCACCGCCAGGTGGAGCGCTGTCTGTGGGCACAAGGGCGGACACGTGAAGGTGGGCACAGGGATTCCCACCTGCCAACACCTTTGAGAACAGCTAGTAAAAGCCAGGTCACTCATGGAGACGCTAACTGGCCCCGCCCTCTGAAGCACCTCAAATTCTTGGGACTCTCATTGTGACAGTTGGGTGAGGGACATGGCACCCTGGCTCTTCGCCCTGCAGGAAGGTGTTTGGGCAGGGAGGCCTAACCCCTCACCTTCTGTCTGCAGAGATCTTTATGAACCCCGGGGGTCAGGCAGCTGGGAAGGGCATTAGGAGAGCAAAAATGGCAAAGTCATCCTTGAAGGCCCAATTCAGCTTTGATCTCCTGGACTCAGGCTGCCCAGATTGGCATATGCAGACACCAGGGCCCAGAGCAGCTGGTCTGCCTCTGTTGTCACCACTCCTGTGGCTACCTTGTGTCATCAGGGATCGACATGTGTCCCTTCCCCCAGGCTGGGAGCACTGTGTAGGAAGAGATGGGCTCTGGCTCATCTTTGGGTGTCTGGTTTTTGGGTGGACAGTCTGGAGAGCGTCCCATGGCTGCCGGGGTAGGTACATGGACCTGAGCGCAGTCTGCCCCCTCTACCTACCTGGTAGAGGTTGTTCTGAATGTCCAGGACCTCCTGGGGCAGCGCTGCAAGGCAGTAGAGCAGCATGGCTTGGGCCTCGTGAATCACTGCCAGGTGGACCAGCCTGCGGAGGGGCAAGGGCAAGGGCAAAGTTTGCGACCAGGGCCCAAGCCAGAGAGAGAGCTGGGGTGGGGGTGGTCCTGGGATTAGGAGGAGGAAGCACAGGAAGTGAGAGCTTGGGCCAGGAAGTGTAGGCTGGGGTAGGAGGCTAGAAGCCCAGCAGTGGGAGTGGCCAGTTCCCATCTCTGGACTTCAGGAAGGCCTGGCTGGGTGGGAATGTGTCAGGGTGCTAAAGGGCCTGCCCACATCCCACACCCTGCTATCCCCAGGGCCCCACCAAGCCAGCTGCAGCTCAAAGTCAAACTGAAAGCCGCTACAGGAGCCCACAGGGGGTTTCCAGGGCTGTGCTCCCCACCTCCCACCCCGATAGAGAGGACAGGCAGGCAGGGGTGGGGAGCAGGGGTCACCCCTCAGTGTTACACGTTCCACAGGAGCAAACCAAGTTCTCAAAAGAGGCACCAGGAGACAGTGCAGCACCCTGACAGCCCAGACCAGGCAGGTCCCGAGCCTGACCCCACAGGCACAGCACAGAGAATGTGTGTTTGCTGGGAGCCCTAAACTGGGGTGAAGGGGGCAGCCCGGAGGGGAAGTTCCCTTGTCCTGGGGTTTCCCTGCACCAGGTGGAGAAAATGACAGCCAGGCAGCCAGGTCTGGGCCTGAACAGCTGCCCTGAAACTGGAGTGAGGGGCTGGGCAAGGGGCTGCTTGGGCAGGAGGGGGCTGGCTGTGGATGCAGGCAGGCACCAGGAGAGAGTGGCAGAGCTGCTCTGGAAATCCCCTTGGCCACGGCCTGCTCTCTGGGTCACATTCCTGCAGCCACCTCCCTCTCCCGCACCCCTCCTCCCACTTCCTCTTCCCACAGCCCAGACACCTCACAGGGAGCAAAGTGGACCCCTTCTCTCTGGAGAGCCCTTGGGCAGTTCTATCCCAGTCCCTGCATGCTGCTCCCCCCGCTCCCCCCCCACCGAAATCAGGACCAGGATACCTGACTCTTAAAGAGATGGTGAAGGTGGGGCTAAAGACTCTGAAGGAGACCAGGGACCAGAAGTTCCCACTTCTTGGGTCAATGGTCAGCTGTAGGTACACTCCATGGAGCCTCCAAAATCTTGGGCTTCTGGGCCAGAGGACTGAGGACCCAGGCACAGAGTGCAAAAAAGCCTGGGTCACCTCTCTGCTACCACCCCCCACCCCACCATCCTTGTGCAGAATCAGGACCTTGCACCTCCCAGATGCACGGCAGGGCAGGCACCCCACCCAGGTTCTTCCATGCCCATCCTTCATTCTAGTCACCCTGATTCCCTGCATCTCTCATCCAAAACGCCCCCCGCCCCCCTCTCCTGTCAGCGTATGTTTCTACGTCCTCAGCAGGCCAGCCCCTCCCACACCCCAGCATCTAGTCTCAATGCTCCCCTGGGGCCTGTCGGGACCAAGCTCCACCTGAGACTGGAGCTGGGGAGGGGTGGGAAGAGTGCGGGGAAGGGGTCAGGAAGGGCAGTGAGCGGGCCTGGGGAGCTCAGGAGGGGGAGTGTGTAGGAGGCTGATTCCAGCCCTCACTTCCCCTTTCTCTGCAGAGGAGGAAGTAAGCTGGGGCAGGCGGTTGCCTGTCTGCTGGGCCAGGGTGTCCCCCGCTGGCTCACCTAGCCTTCCTCAGGGCCAGCCCCAGGTGTACTCCTCCTACCCCCACCATCCCAGCCCCCACTGGCTACCCGGTTTCCTCCAGATGGGGCAATCTGAGGGCAGGAGCTGGGAATCCCAGTTGTTGATAAAACAAGGATGACCCCTCCCCTCCGAGGGGAAACCTAACAGGTCAGGGGAATTTTCTCTTCCTGAGGGTGGGTGATTGGGACGTTTCCAAGACGCTGGCTGGGACTACCGGCGTCTGGGGAAGGGCCCTCCCTGCCCCTGCCAGCTCTGCCCACCTCCATGCGGGAGGACAGGGAGGTGATGCCAAGTCTGGCCTGGCTGGAGCTCAAGAGTTGGCTGAAAACTTGGCGTTAAGTTTGGAGTTTCGAAGGGAGTGGGGGCTGTCCCTTCCCGGGCGGGCGCCTGGGAGGGCTCTTGGAGCCGAGAAGCCGTCTCGAGGTGGCTCCTGGGGAGACTGAGGGTTAGGGTCGGAAGCAAGGCGTTCTGCCGCGGCCTCGACCCCAAACTCACGTGTCACCTTCCTCGGAGATGTAAGTGAGCGCTTCCAGCTGCTGAGCGTTCAGACTCCCCGGGGGGACGAGCGGCGAGCAGGGGGCAGGGTCTTCGGCCTCGAGGCCCCCCAGGAGGGGCAGGGGCCCCGTGATCGAGGAGGAGCCGTAGGTGGAGTCGGCCCGCTCCCCATCCGCGTCTTCCTTCTCCTCCGGCCCCTCGGCGCCTCCCCGGGGTGGGGTCCAGGGCTGGGGGCCGCCGCCATCCGAGGGCCTGGGGGCGAGGGCCGCGGGCTCGGGCAGGGAGCGCAGGGAGCGCAGAGACTCGATCCCCGAGTCGTACCGGCTCTCGTCCGCCTCGTCCGGCCCTTTCCGCGCCTCCGACATGCCCGCGGCGCCCGCCCGCGGGGGCCGGGGTTCGAGCCGGCTCCGGCTCCGGCTCCGGGCTCCGCGGTGCTGCCTTTCCGGGTGCGGGGCCGCCTCGGCCAAGCCGGCGCCGGGCCCAGCCTTCTTTCCGGGCCGCGGGGTCCGAAGGGGATCGGCCAGACGCGAGGACAAGGGTCGGAGCCGGGCTGGGTCCACCGCAGCGGATTGATACTTAGGGTAGCAGCGCAGCCCAGTCCGGTCCTCTCGCCCCGCCCCTAAGGGGACACTCCGGACGAGGCCCCGCCCCCGCCCCGCCCCCCGCGGCGCTTCCGGAAAGAGGTCCCGCCCCCTCGGAATCCCCCTCGCCCCTCCCTCTGCGTTGGCCTGGAGTCCGGGTTTGCCCGCTCTGACTCACGCCTTAGTCCAGTCACCCGTCCGTCCCTCCATCCATCTGTCCATCCATTCCCTCATTCATTCATTCATTTACTCTTCCCCTTTCCTTGTTAGTTTCATTCATTCATTCCCTGTTGGCTTTAAAATAAATAGTGCTCGTCTGCCAGAGTTGGCCATCTCGCGGGGAGAACAGGTGCGTTGTGGGGAGGGGGATCCTGGCTTCCTACACGCCCGTCCCCCACTCTCACGATCGCCCTCCCTCTCTCGATGGTTCCCTCAAGGTGCCCAGGAGTGGCGGGGTGGAGAAAGGAGATACCGACTCTCTTTAAGGCGGGTCTTGGAGAGAGAACATAGAACCGGCCAGCTGTTATCACTGCTGCTACGGGAAGGACAGGCGTTCAGAAAGTGGGTCTCTACGGCAGGCTGCTGTCGAAAAGGCTGGGCTGCCATGGACTTGCTTGGTCCTCGCAGGACCGAAACACTGACGTCCGGTGGCTGCGGCATCAGGTTACCCCTAGTGGTCAGGGAAATTTAGTTCCTCATGATGGGACCGCCAAGGGGGAGGCCCCAGACAGGATGAGCCACACTCGGCTGAGAGCACTCAGGAAGACCCAGCCCCCGCCCACCTTTCTTCCTCCCTGTCCCCCGCTTGCCTTGGGGCTCCGGGAGGCCTTAGAAGAACCCTGCTCACGTGGTACCAGGTCTAAGTACCCCAAGGTAGACCCCCTTCCTTGTTCCTCCTTCTCCCCCAAGTGCCAGGGGCCTAGGGTCCAGCAGTGTCCTTAGGGGATCACTCTCAAGGGAACATCTACCTTTTCCACCTCTGATCTGGTGGGGGACCACCCACTGGGGAGGGTATGAACAACTGCACCACGTACATTTCTCCACCGCTCTCGGCCACCCACGTGACCTCAGTTACGGATCCGTCCGCCCATCCAAGTGACCAACCTATCTGGAGCTTCTAAGCCTGACGTTATTCTCTCTGCTAGAGGCAGGAAGGAGTAGCAGAAATCACAGTGAGGGCAGCCACCGCCGTCGTCACCTTCCAGCCTCTAGTGTGTTTTGCTGTGATATTTTAAAGAGCAACAACATGCAATATAATCTTTAAAAACCCAAAGAGCAACAACATGCAATATAATTTAAAAAGAAAAAAACCAAAAAACTCCATCCCAACACAGATGGAAATAAGGCACAGAGTGGAGTCCCCTACCCTGTGTGTGAGGTAGGGAGAGAAGGCTACCCTCCAACTGGGAGGAGGGCCAAGACCAGAGAAGGGTGGGAGAAGTGTGGGGAGAGGGTTGCAGGAAGGAGATAAAGGAGAGAGAGGATGTGCTGATCGCTAAAGAGGAGCCACAGTTTCCCATCATTCATTATGCGGTGCGGGGAGAAGCCCAAGGAAATGCCAGCATCCTTGCCCTTGGGGATTTCCCCTTCCCTTGTGCAATTTCAGATGGTCTCAGTGCCCTCTCTTGACATGTATCTTCTCCTGTCCTCAAAAATTAGACTCCCTAGATTCAAACTCTGGCACTATCACCCCCATTTTACAGTTGGGAAGCAGACGTTCAGAAAGGTGAGAAAAATTCAGAGTAGAGTTCTCTTGTCCCTAGTCCAATGTTGCAACATTTTTTTTTCAATGAAATTTTTCATCAAAACTGAAAGTGCACAAGGGAGTGGGCATCTGAACTTCCATAAAACCGGAAGTCAAATCCACTGCCAATGAGTGGATTCTGGTTCATAGCAACCCTATGGAACAGCAGTACGGCTTTAAGGCTTTTGAGACTGTAAATTTTTATAGAAGCCGGCAGCCTCCGCTTTTACCCACAGAGTGGCTGGTGGGCTTGAACCACTGATCTTTGGGTTAAAAAGCCCAACACTTAACCCATGGTGCCATCAAGGACAAATAAAGACATGTACAGTGACCATCCTTTTATTTACCCAGAGGCTATATATTTTTTCCCCAGAGGCTATATTTGAGGAAAAAAATCAACCTTAACCCAGCCAGATCTCTGGCCCTTCGCTATAGACAGGTATCAAGCCCCTGAGCAAGGGCAAACTCTGGGCCAAGCTACTAACCTAGATATTAGTACTTCAAACAT